GTTTTGTTTTGTTTTTTGGTAAAAGCTGATTAGGGCTAATAAGGTTTAGTTACCAGATGGAAATGTGACCTATAGTCTTAAGTTCTAAGGCTCCTTAGGAACAATCAGGTAACAGTGATGCTTATTATTGCTCTCCCTCTTCAGTCCTGGAGTGTCCTGGCTGTCCACTGGTATGTAAGGAAGGAGTTGTTACTTTCTTTGTTTTCAGGTTTTACTTGGCCGTTTGTAGAGGATTAGTTAGAATTAGCTTACATGATGTATATGGTCTATCCTAGGAATCTTAGTCTTTTACACCTGAACAAAGTTATCTGGAAATGTTAGAAATGAAAACAAATCAAACAAAAAACACCTGGCTGAAGACCTACCATCATAGTCTCACATGAGTCATTCGACTGATATTTTTGACCTGAAAATTGCTGTTCTAACTTAAACAATTCCTTTTCTTCTTTAGTAAATGTTTAGAGTTGTTTGAACTTCTCAGATGATATATGGTATTTTGGGTAAAACCTATTTTTATTTTTGCTACTGTATTGTATGGTGGTTTGATAATGTCTTAATTTATGCTCTATTTTGTTCTGATGAGGATTTTAAGAGTTTGTCACTACTGTTTTTAAAAGCAAGTAACTATTTTTAAATTTTTTTAAAAGACATGGTCTTGCTCTGTCGCCTAGGTTGGAGTGCAGTGGTGCAGTCATAGCTCACTGTAGCCTCAAACTCCTGGGCTCAAGAGATCCTCCTGCCTCAAGCCTTCCAGGTAGCTAGGACTAGAGGCATGCACCACTGTGCTTGGCTAATTGTTAAAAAAAATTTGTAGAGGCCGGGCGTGATGGCTCATACCTGTAATCCCAACACTTTGGGAGGCCCAGGCGGGCGGATCACTTGAGGTCAGGAGTTTGAGACCAGCCTGGCCAACGTGGCAAAACCCCATCTCAACTAAAAATACAAAAATTAGCCAGGCATGGTGGCATTAGCTACTTGGTAGGCTGAGACAGGAGAGTTTGCTTGAACCTGGGAGGCGTAGGTTGCAGTGAGCTGAGATTGCACCACTGCACTCTAGCCTGGGTGACAGAGCGAGACCCCTGTCTCAGATTTTTTTTTTTTTTTTTTTTTTTTAAGAGATAGGGGTCTCGCCCTGTCGCCCAGGGTGGTCTCAGACTCCTGGCCCCAAAGGGTCCTCTCACCTTGGTATCCCAAAACACTAAGATTACAGGCATGAGCCTCCGAGCCTGGCCAATTCTTTCATTTATTCAATGAGTATTTATTATCATACATGATTGAATATAAATCTGAAAAATGTCTTGTACATGTACTAGTCAATACAGTTGACTTGTTTCTTTTAAGAAAATTACCCCTTTAGCAGCTAGGGTTTGAACTACTAAATTCATCTTATTGAATCACAAGTGTTTGTCATATATAACCACCTCTAGGAAACTACTCAAAGACCATCTCTGACGTTTGTCAGAACAATTTGCATTTATGGAGAGTGACATTTTGTTATTGACCAAATTAAATAAAATCATTAATATGACATTTTGCTTTTGACTGATTTTTCTATGATGGTTGTTGAAGGAATTGGATTGGTATGTTCAAAATGTTACAAAATAGGATATTTCAAGTTATTCACAAAGTAAAACTGACATTTTTGAAGTACACAGTTCACAGCTAATGAAAGTGTTCAAATGGACACTTTAAATTTTCTCACCAGGTGCGGTGGCTCATGCCTGTAATCCCAGCACTTTGGGAGGCCGAAGCGGGTGGATCTCCTGAGATCAGAAGTTTGAGATCAGCCTGGTCAACATGGGGAAACCCCATCTCTACTAAAAATACAAAAATTAGCCAGGCATGGTGGCAGGCACCTGTAATCCCAGCTACTTGGGAGACTGAGGCAGGAGAATCGCTTGAACCCGGGAGGCGGAGGTTGCAGTAAGCTGAGATCACGCCATTGCACTCCAGCCTGGGCCACAGAGCATGACCCCATCTAAAAAACAAAAAAACAAAAACAAAAACAAAAAATTTTCTTTACCGGGTGCGGTGGCTTATACCTGTAATCCCAGCACTTTGGGAGGCCAAAGCAGGTGGATCACTTGAGGTCAGGAGTTCGCGACCAGCCCGGCCAACATGGTGAAACCCCATCTCTACTAGAAATACAAAAATTAGACAGGCATGGTGGCACGCATCTGTAATCCCAGCTGTTCGGAAGGCTGAGGCAGGGAGAATTTCTTGAATCCAAGAGGTGGAGGTTGCAGTGAGTCAAGATGTCACCACTGCACTCCAGCCTGGGCAACAGAGCGAGACTGTCTCAGAAAAAAACATAAAAATATAAAAAATATTATCTGAAGTAAACATTTTTAGATGAAGTATAATATACCTACAGAAGAGTGCTGATATTACAGTTCAGTGAATTGTCATCAAGGTAGAATTATTACCCTCCCATGTCACCACCCCTTAAGTCAACAAGTAGAACATTACCAGGGCCCTAGAAGTCCTGTGTTGCTTCTTTTCTTTAATCACTACCCCTCTCCTGCCCAGCAGAGATAATCCTGACTTGTAACACCACATATTGATTTTGTCACATAAATAGGCACATTTTAGAGTTTGACCCATTTTCATTTGAAATTTTCTGTACTCTTCTAGGTTATAAAATTAATGAATTATATTTTGAATGAGACCAGCACTTGTTACATATATTTAGTCATTAATAGAAATTGTTTAGGTAATTAGCATGAAATATCAAACAAGGAAAACTTACTTTCCTATAGTCATTATTTTTTATATAGTGAAAATGAAAGGACAGTGGATTCATAGATTTGTTTCCTGTTTTACTTTTCTAATTAGTTGATGCCTTTACCTGTGGTTAAGATACGGAAAAAGCAATAAATTATTTAGGATTTTCTGCTCACTGAATTTTATTGTGTTTAAAAGCATTTAAAAACGATTAAGTGTATACGTGCACTATAAGAAATTTGATGCAAGCAAATGAAACTAAATGTTGGCTCCTTAGAGATTTTTTGATGTTTCCTTTGTCTTCCCTCTTCAGTGGAAGCATTGACATTTCCTCCTTCTTCTGGAAAGTCATTTATCATGGGAGCAGATGAAGCCCTTGAAAGTGAACTGGGACTTGGAGAACTAGCAGGCCTTACGGTGGCCAATGAAGCAGACTCCCTAACTTACGATGTAAGTAGTAGTTTTGTTTTTGATGTTTTTACTTGGTTTTTAAAAATAAAAACTTGCGCTGGGCGCAGTGGCTCACGCCTGTAAATCCAATGCTTTGGGAGGCTGAGGCGGGCGGATCACTTGAGGTCAGGAGTTCAAGACCAACCTGGCCAACATGGAGAAATGCTGTCTCTACTGAAAATACAAAAAATGAGCCAGGCATGGCGGCAGGTGCCTGTAATCCCAGCTACTTGGGAGGCTGAGGCAGGAGAATTGCTTGAGCCTGGGAGGCAGAGTTTGCAGTGATCCAAAACCACACTACTGCACTCCAGCCTTTGCAACAGGGTGAGACTCTGTTTCAAAAAAGTAAAATAAAATAAAAAGTTGATTTTATAGAAAATGAAGACAGTGGTAAAACTTCTTTACAAATATAGAACTTGGTTCAGTTTCCATTGAAAACTTTGAAAGATACATAAAGAATAACATTTTTCCATAACCTAGAGATGAAAATTATGGGCTTTACCTAAATCCATAATTTAGTATGATTTGTTTATTGGTTTTTGATAGGGGAAAGAATTCCTTTTTCCATTACCAAATTTGAATTTTGTTTTCTGTTTTAGGGCACCAGCAATTAGTTGTAATTCATGCCTACCTAAACAATATTTGCTTTGCTTCTTTAGTACATAAGTCAATATCCTATTGAGAAGAGATTTTAAGTATTAGTAGGCGTGGATGTGTACAGTGTGCTTTCCAGATGTTAAGGCTGACCCATCAGAGATTTGGACCAAAATTGATATCTTTGTACCTTTGTGCATACATTTAATTCCAAACAATTGTTTTATAAATGTGTTTATAATTCCTCATCACAATAAATGATTTATTAGAAAAATAGTTGCTTATGTCATAGGTAAAGTATTTACAACCTGCCTTATTTCATTAAATTCCTCTCACTTTGATAGTTTATGATCTCTGTTGGAAAACACAGCGTATCTCTTGCAGCACACGCACCATCTAGGGGATGTAGGATGGATGCCTAAGCAAATCATAGGTATGGTAAAGAAGCACTCCAAAGAGGAACGCTTACCACCCACTCCTCTTCATACAGATAAAAAACTCCCAACCTCTTTGCTAAGCCCATTAGTAAGTCTTTTGGGTTCTACCTCCAAAAACAGTTGAAAATCCGTATACTACTTTTCACTTTCTCTCCTGGTCCATTTTTTTCTTAGAGCTACTGCAATAACCATCTAATCTAAACGGGCTCCTTGCACTCCATTCTCCACAAATATGATACAGATTTACAATTTTTTTTTTTTTTTTTTTTTTTTTTAAAGCAGAGTCTCACTCTGTCACCCAGGCTGGAGTGCAGTGGCTTGATCTCAGCTCACTGCACCCTCTGCCCCCCCGGGCTCAAATGATCCTCCCATCTCAGCCTCCCAAGTAGCTGGTACCATAGGCACGCACCATCACACCCAGATACTTTCTTTTATTTTTGGTAGAGACAGGTTTTTGCCATATTGCTCAGGCTGGTCTCAAAACTCCTAAGCTCAAGAAATTCACCCGGCTCAGCCTACTCCAAAATGCTGGGATTACAGGCCTGAACCACCATGCCTGACCTGTTACAGATTTTTAAAAAATCATTTCTAAGCTGGGCACAGTGGCTCACGCCTGTAATCCCAGCACTTCGGGAGGCTGAGGTGGGCATATCACGAGGTCAAGAGATCGAGACCATCCTGGCTAACACAGTGAAACCCAGT